GCCAACTTTACAAACAGCCTGTTAGCCACAGACCCGAATTGTAAAACTTCTCGTTCGGAAATTTGAACATTTGAGAAAGGACACAGAAGCAAAACCTACCACCGGGAACCTTGTCGGCCGGTTGCCATCGTGCCGAGCAAACAGCAGCATTGTAACCGGAAAGTCGTAGAAGCTTTGCGAGATAAAACCTGATGCAACTGGCATTGCACGTACCGGTCTTTACAGAGTGAAGATCCTTCCCCCTGATAGCAAACAACTGGGAGCGAACTGCTGACAGAACATCAGCCTCGTATGGAGCCATAGAGTACTTGAGAAACTGCAGGAACAACATAGATACTTCTAGTTAATAATAGGATTTCCTCCTTGCCCAGAGAAAGTGATGAAGATATTCGATCTCTCGAATCCATGAATGTGATACATTACATTTATGTAGCGGCAGCCAATCACGTAAATTGAATTGATATGCAATTGAACCTCCAAACCCAGATACAGGGTTAACAACATAACCAGCTAGACACATGAATGGATGGATGCGGTTCATCATAACTAACAATAAAAGACATGATTTTTACCGCAATAAAAACGAACTTTGGATTTAAAAATATACATATATATATATATATATATATATATCATATTCAAAGAGTAAGGGGAGATCATCGGGTTCATATTTCCATCGCCGGAAAAAATCTAACGAAACCATCATGGGGTAACCGATTCCAATGGAGATTATGTCCGGAAAACTTCCCCTATTCGACAGAGAAACTTCATCTCATCTCTAAATCCGATAGGAAACCAAAGAATTGAACTCGAGACTGTACCTGAATCTTGTCCGAAAGGGAATACAGATCCGGACACCCAGAATCGCTGTCGCTGCTGCACCACGAGTTCCCTCCACCACTTCCACTGCCCGTCTCGAGAAAATCCCTAACCATTAGCCCCAAATCATGCTCGCCGTCGTAGCTGAAATCCCCTCCGCCGCTCTCTCGACCCCATCCCCGTTCCCTCGCCGTCATAACCCTCAAATCCATCCCCATCGTCCTCACGACCCTCCGATCAACGCCTCGATCGAATTCTTCCGCCACCAAAACCAAACGAAACCAACACACGCGAACAGATCGAGAGAAATCGAATGTTACCCGGAATTACGCGAAACTGCGGGCTCCTGAGGGATTCGTGTTCGGGATAAGGGATTGAATACGAAAGGTCATGTGACGAAAACGCGTTTCGTTCTCTTCACGAATCCGATACAGTGTTTGTGTATGTATATATATACACGGAGAGATCTCAGTCTGGGGAGAGAAAATTTCAGGGAAAGAAAACGAGAGGCAAAAGCTACGACAGGGACCCGGTGAGGAAGACGAAGCGAAGGTGGGGGGTAAATATAATACCAAAAATGACGATAATACCCTTACTAGTTGTGTATAATTACCGTTTAAAGTCCTCCGGCCGTTTGGTCATTTATCTCCCGTTTTGGAGCGTATCCAACGAATTGGATAAAGATAAAACGAGATACAACGAACAATGAATTTGGACGGAGTTCATGTTAGCATTCGGTTGCAATGATTTTACCGGAAAACTAAAATATGGGGAGTAATTTGTAAGGGTAAAAGAGTAATTACTTCTGGCTTGAGGGCGAAGTTCAGAAGCGGCTCCAACGTTTTTTTTTTTTGGGTCGAACGATGACGTGAACGACTTTAGTGCGAAAAATAATATTTTTTTTACAACTTTTATATATATTTCGTTATATTATATAGGTCGCTCCTTCTTGGTAAATAAATAATAAAAAATTGCTTTCAAACTAGAAATATATATATATATATATTATATATAAATACAAGCATATTGAAAGAATGGGTTTGTGGGCACAAATGGGCCTCATGCCTTTTTAACACACGATGGGTATGGGGCTCATCTCCAAGAAGGTTATTTTAGATTCATTGTCAAAGGCTTTGGATTATTGAGATTCAATTTTAAAAAAAAATCCATACTTTAAAAGTTATTTATAATCATCTTTTTTAATTCTATAAATTTAAATGTTAATATTTTTAAACCCAAAATTTTTAACTCCCTTAACTATATTAATTCTATAAACTTAAAAAATGAACTCAATAAACATAACTAGAGGTTGCTCTTTTAACAACTATAAATTCTATAAACTATCTTAATCTTCAAATTCTCCGACCATTTGTTTATTATATAATATATGGATTCCATATCTCTATGACAACACGTTGGATTTGCCTTAGAAGAGAGAGTTAAAAAAAAATACTAAACAGGGATAAGACCAGAGCCGTCTCATAAAATTTTGGGGCCCCGTACATATCATACTTTTAAATTATTAAAATATATTAATTTATATATTAAATAATAATAATATTTAAATATAATTAAAATAGTTTTTTTGTTGAGACTCCATACACATAATTATTAAAAATTACATTTAATAATATATATTATTAATAATTTTTAAAATAATTGAGGCCCTATATTTTTTGGGGCCCTGTTCGATCGCACCTTTTGCACGTGCTATTAGACGGCTCTGGATAAGACGTAATAATTACCTCCTTAAGCCAAATCTCATGTATCAAAGCACATTCAACATTTTGTTTAATTATTCTGTTTTATTTAATTTCTAAATTTGCGTCTTTGATATCTTTTGAATTTGACATATATATATATATTATTTTTTATTTGTGCATGTTGTGGGACAATTTAGGACCACCGCGGTTGGACTATATGATATATCTCGTATTTAGTTGACTAAAAATTTGTTTGTTTGAATGGAAAAGGTGATTTGGTTAATTAAATCAATTTAATTTATACATGTACGTTGAAAGATTTTGATAATGTCGGTCGGTCAACGAAGTTCGCCTTGAAATATTACTGAATAGAAATTTCGGGGCGGACGGCAGACAAACCGTGTCTATATAATGTGCATGAAGTTCTATGGAACATATGCATATACATATATATATGCTCTTGCTCATGGACACTATTATATATATATATATTTAGAAAACAATTGTATAATTAAATATAAAATAAATCCCGAATCTTGATTGAAGATATATGCGAAACTCAATCTCATAAAACTAATCTTAGTCTCCAATTATAAAAAAAATGATTACTGTGCCACTGCCACATATCTAAATTAGCATATATTACAGAATCTTATGACACAAAATCTAAATTGATTGTTATGCTCTTATAGATATAATATGATCAGCCGGCTTTTCACCAAAAAAAAAATATGATCAGCCGGCTATTTAACAATTGAAGTTGTGAATTTAAGCGCGTATCACACGCATAATGATATTTTATTCTTTTTGTTAATAGTATCTCTACCCGTGAAATACAAATTCAGAGCCATAATTAATAATATAATAAAAAAATCAGAAAAAAGGTTGAAACTTTTATTTTATACTAACCTCTATGACACAAGTATTTTCATTTTAATTGGAAAAAAAAATATTTCTTTTCAATTTCTTCACCAGACGTACGTACGTCATTAGATACACGACTTGAATATGGATAATTTATTTATGAAAATCAAATTACAATGGCTTGTAATTGACTTACCGTACGTAAGCCCGTACGGTAACATCGGTAAAGAAGCGAGCAGTAATTTATTGTTGGGTGTGGGTCGTTTTCAGGAAAGATTTATGATTTAAAAAAAAAGGTTAAAAAAAAAAGGTTGAGGACTTTGATCGGTCGTTGGATTCAAAAACTCGAATCCAAACACCTCTTTCGGTCAACCCTTGTTCGGTTCCATTTGTTTGACTTTCTTCTGCACTCGCCACATTAAAAATACATCAAAATGAAAGAAAAGAAACCATTTTTTGGCTCGTCCTCTCGTGCCTTTCACCAACCCTCTTTCTCCTCCTCCTCTTTTCACACCTCTCTCTCTCTCTCTCTCTCTCTCCCCTTTCTTGGTGCCATTTGGGTCTCTGTATAATTACTCTGGTTCCACTCTCTGACAAGTCCTGTTCTGCTCAAACATCTGAAGCAAGACAACAAAAAGGGGGCAAAAAATCAGAATCTTGTCTTGTTCCTCCTGTCTGGATTCATGGGTTCTTGTCTCAGTTGTCTGATCGAAGCCCAAAGCCCTCCCCGTGATGGTAACTTCCCCCGCGACTTCAATTTTTCTCGGTTGATTTTCCAGCCGATGTTTTGTTTCCCGGAAAAATCTGGGCTTTTGCATGTGTTTTATTCTTTTGGGTTTGTGGTTTGATTTCATCATCTAGCAAACTAAGAACACAAAAAGGAAGGAAATTCATCATCTGTTTGTTTTCCCCTTTGATCGAACGGTTAAAAGATGATCATCGAACATTATATAATCATCAGTTATTACCGGAGCCCAATGATTAGATCTCCATTTGATTGGTTATCTTATACAGAAACTTTGGTTGGAATCTGATATGGTAAACTTTATGTGTTCTGTTAAAGCCAATTCGAGCGAGAAAAGCAGCGATCTTTACGGGCTAAGCCTTTCGAGCCGGAAATCGCCGATTACGACGGCGTCTCACAAAACGGAGGGAGAGATTCTGCAGTCCGCGAGTGTCAAAAGCTTCAGCTTCAACGAACTGAAACTCGCCACCAGAAACTTCAGACCGGACAGTGTGATCGGCGAAGGAGGCTTCGGTTCTGTCTTCAAAGGCTGGATCGATGAAAGCACCCTGACTCCGACTAAACCGGGCACCGGTTTGGTCATCGCGGTTAAGCGGCTTAACCAGGAGGGTTTTCAGGGTCATCGTGAATGGCTGGTGAGTGAGTGAGTGGTCATTCATGTTGATCAATTCCTCCAAAGTTTGGATCTTTAGCTCATAACATCTCAGTTTCTGATCTTTGGCTTGTGTTGGATTTTGCAGGCAGAGATCAACTACTTGGGTCAGTTGAATCACCCGAATCTTGTTAAACTGATAGGTTATTGCCTCGAGGACGAGCACCGGCTTCTCATCTACGAGTTTATGCCAAAGGGTAGTCTTGAGAATCATCTTTTCAGAAGTGAGTGATGGTCTCCTCTGTATGGAATTAGAGAGATTAGTGTGTTGTATTGTGTTGTTTCTTATCGATCGAAATGGTTTTTCGGGCAGGAGGATCATACTATCAACCGCTCTCGTGGAGTTTACGGGTCAAGGTGGCGGTAGATGCCGCAAAGGGGCTTGCTTTCCTTCACAGCGATCCGGTGAAAGTGATATACCGAGACTTCAAGGCTTCTAACATCTTACTAGATTCGGTATGCCAAAAAAAGCATCAGTATCATCATATCATGAAGTCTTTTCACAGTATGTATACTGTGGTCTTGTTTCCAAGTAGTTAGGGTTTTGATCTGATCTTCTCTTGACAGGACCATAACGCCAAACTCTCCGACTTCGGGTTGGCCAGAGATGGTCCGATGGGCAGTCGGAGTTACGTTAGTACGAGGGTCATGGGAACATACGGTTACGCCGCTCCAGAGTATATGTCCACTGGTATGTTCTAGCAATCGATTGATGCATTTTTGTAAAAATGTCATCTTAGTCTCAAAGTATAATCCTTTTTGTATGAGACTAGTCTATGATCTAGTGAAGATCCGAAAAAAGCATAGCTGCATCGATATATATCTATCCATTACCGAGGTTAAACCGACTAATGTATTAGAGTAACCTAAGCTAGGCTTCAAGTCTCCTTCATGGAACAATTTGACAAAGATGTCAATCCCGCCGGGGGTTGGATCGGGTCGGGTAATCGAGATTCTCGGTTAATCCGAATCAAACTCGAATTTTCGAAAGATTTCAATACCCTAAGTTTGTATACAATTTGTTCAGAATACGAAGGAAAAAAATATGTAATTTTACTGTTTACTCGGGTATCGTGGGCAATATCCATATCGGATCCAATTACCAAAATCCGATTTTCGGGTTTTCCTCATTACCAAACCCGATCTCATCTCATGTAATAGTGGATCGGAGGTATTTGAAATTCCGGTTTTTGTGACCAGGCCTAGATCCCGCGTGTCACGTATGGTTCACAAGGTTTTGATGTGTACGTCTTATATTTTCAGGACATTTGAACTCCAGAAGCGATGTGTACAGTTTCGGGGTCGTCCTATTAGAAATATTGTCGGGCAGGCGAGCGCTGGACCACAATAGACCGGCCAAGGAAGAAAACCTCGTGGAATGGGCTCGGCCTTACCTCACGAGCAAACGAAAGGTCCTCCAGATCGTGGATGCTCGGTTGGACGGACAGTACCTACCCGAAGAAGCGGTACGAGTGGCCAGCATTGCCGTACAGTGTATCTCCTTCGAACCCAAGTCTCGTCCAACAATGGACCAGGTGGTAAGAGCCTTGCAAAGAGTGCAGGACAACTTGGGAAAACCGATGGAAACCGAACCGGTTAAGGATACTAAGAGATTCGGATTGAAAACCGGAGTCAGATTCCAGAGAAATGGATGTTCAAACAAAACACCCTTTGGTCTTTAGGCAGAGAACATGTGGATTTGTACTGATTTTTGGTGTGTTGTAATGTTGAGAGTATATATATGAGGTTATTCTTTTTTGGTTAGAGATTATGCTAATTTTATATGTAACCCACGAATTTTCCATGTATTGTATTATACCGATTATATAAGTTTTGATGGTGTAGAAATTGTAGTACAATACAGTGTAAATGCGAGTGGACTGTGGTGGCCAAGCCAAAAAGGGGATGAAATTGATAAATTCAAACTTATGGGGACGACAATAGAAAAACGATAATATGATGGGTTAAAATTAGTATTTATCAAAATGGCACGGGAAAATAAATTGACATTGAAACTGCATGTCGTTTGATGCTTTGGTTTTTGGACTGTATGCCGTTCTTTGGCTTATCTCGAACACGAAAAGGTTTGCTTTTAGTAACGAGGGGTTTATGCGGTGATGACAACCATCGCAATGGCTCTGTTTCAGCAGGCTTTCTTCTCCGTTCCCGGGGCGCGTGTGGTTCACCGCCGATCCCTGACCACTGCCGCCGCAACTGTCGCGGCCGCCTCACGTGCCCCGCACGTGGATTCGCGCGTGCTCCTCGGGATGTCGGAGCAGGAGCTTCTACAGCTCGCCGTCAACTTGGGTCAGGTTAGATGGATTCTTGTCGGAATCAGAAGCTGAAGTAAAGAAAACTGTATTTAAAAGTGTTGTCTTGAATCATTGGTTGGGGGGCCTCAAAAAAATTCTGAATTTTCCCGGTGGAGTTTTGCAGGAAAGCTACAGAGGGAAGCAGCTGCATCATCTTATATACAAGAGGAAGGTGAAAGAGATTGAAGATTTTAGTAATTGTGAGTAATTGTTCATTTTTTTTCCTATTCTGAAACCTGGTGATGATGCGTAGGATAATCAGTGACATCTGTTCGATTTTCATTTTCAAAGTGCCTCTAGCATTTCGAAAAGAACTTATGGAATCAGGGTTTAAGGTGGGAAGATCACCAATTTACCAATCTGTCACCGCGGCTGATGGTACCATTAAGGTAGTGAAGTAAGGTGATATGCACCTTTTGGTAATGCTGAGATTTCTAGCGTCAGTATCGTTATTGGTTCGGTAATTTCGTCATGTTTTACGATAGATTTCCTATGTTGAATGCCTGTTTTCTTGGTGTGTTTTATTTTGCAGCTGCTTCTAAAGCTGGAAGATAACCGGTTGATCGAAACCGTCGGCATTC